AAGGTCTCTCCCAACCCAAACAATTCCTCCTACCTGCCAGCAGCCCCGTTCCCCTCCCTGTACTCACGAGGCCACCCCCAGGCTCTGTTCTGACACAATCAGCTTTCCCTGGCCAGCACCTTTTCTCAGCTCTCCCCTCACGACACCTGGTCTCTGCTTAAGATAAGGGGGAGCAGCCCCTGGTTTGCCCCCAGACTCACCCAGGAACACCAGGACTGTCCCCACCCACTGCATGGTGCTGATGGGGTTGGCAAACAGAATGACTGACGCCAAGATGGTGAAGAACTTGCGGGTCGTGGTGATGATGGAACAAGTCAGAGGCCCGAAATACACCACAGTCATGAAAATAAAACTCTGCAGAACAAAACAAGATGCCTTGGCTCACCCCTGCTCAACACAGCTTGGATTTTTCAGGTGGAAATCCACCCAGAGCCCTGTGCTCACCTGCCCCAGGGCACTGGTCAGCCCGAACAGCAGGATGTTGGAGATGATGCTGGGGTAGCGTTCTGTGAAACTCAGGAACTCCCAGAGCTCTCCCGTGAACAGGATCCCTGGAAGAAAGAGCCAGAGGAAAACCCTGAAGCCCAAAGCTGGAGGGAGCTGCTGCCTGCCTGATGGAATTTCAGCTGGTGTCCATAACCCAGCAGGAGCCTCCAAAGGCAGAGATCAACTCCACACGGTGGAAAACTGAGAGAACAGGAGGAAAACCAATCACCTTCCTGGGCAAGGACAAGGGGGGATGGTTTAAAACTAAAAGAGGGAGATTTCGGCTGGAGAGAAGGAAGAAATTTTGGATGCTGAGGGGGGTGAGCCCCTGGCCCAGGCTGCCCAGAGAGGTGGTCGCTGCCCCATCCCTGGAACCATCCCAGGGGAGGTTGGATGGAGCTCTGAGCACCCTGCTCTAGCTGCAGATGTCCCTGTCCCTGCAGGGGGGTGGGACCAGATGGCCTTGAAAGGTCCCTCCCCACCCAAACCCCTCTGTGATTCTGTGATTCCTGGTTAATGAACAAAAGAAACAATCACTAACTGTGGATCCCGCTCTGACGCAGCAGTCCCCAGTAATCAATTAGAAGCACCACTCCCTAATTGGGGCAGAAAGCTACACTCAGGTGGTTTGTGGACTGCTTCTGGACCAGCTCAGGGGAGCCTCGGGTCCGACGCCGGGTGGCGAGGGCTGGAGCTGGGCCAGGCTGCAGGGAGGACTCGGGCTGAGGAGAGGAGCTACACGCCGTGCAGCGATGTCCCCTAGTGGGCACCGGGAGAGCCACACACCACACCCCCGGCGTCGTGCACACCCCAGTGGTCCCCCAGGCCGGGTTTGGGGCAGGACACGGCATCTCCCCCCAGGGGTGCCCCGAGGGCAGCCCCGGATGACGTTTTGGGCGCTCCTTACCAGCCCCCAGGAACAAGGTAGACCAGAGGTTAACGTTCAGCATCATGTGGTTGGAGCCCGTCTGGTAGTGAGCCCTCATGTGGTCCTGAGATACCCCTGTCAGCCCATCCAGGGTCAGAGACAGCAGCTGAGGAGGGAGAGAAGAGGCAGAGATAAGAGACTGCCAAGAAAACCTTCAGCTCTTTCTTCCCTCTGCCTGGGGAAGACCTTGAGCATTGTCTGTCTTTTTATACACCTATTAAACAACAACCACGTGCCCTCCTGACAGAAGCCAAGAAACCTGGGCACGGATTCACACTCTGACCTCCTACCACAGCTCAGCACCCTTGGGACCCAGACGTCCTCCTCATTTCCACGCCAGCCCCAGGGCAGCTTTGGGGTACAAAGGCCGTGGTGTTATCAGTGCCAGAGCTGCCTGCCCTCCCCCAGCCTGCCCGGGGCCGTCACAGCCTCTCCAGTGCTCACCAGGAGGAGCTCCCCGTAGCCAAAGACGTGCTCCTCACTCCCCACAGCCTTCTTGGGTTTGTAGAGGAACAGGGCCACGCCAGCCACGATGAGGAGCACGCAGAGGTACTTGGCTGGGGGGTACTTCTTCCGCAGCAGTGTCACCCCTAGGAGCATGACTGCAGAGAGGCAACGTCACAAACTGCTCCCCCCAAAATCATTTGGGTTTCCCCTGACACACCCACGTGCAAACGGAGCCCCCCTTGGCTCTTCCCACAGCAGAGAGGCCCAGCTCTGAGGGCACACGTCCCGGGGGAGGGCACCAGAAAGCCACAGCAGGTAAAAAATGTGGCACTTGCTTACCTGGGATGGGCTTGCAAGATTTGCCCAGGACCTAGAGAAGAAAGACTCTGTCAGCTCACTGCTAAAGACTGGCCATGAACTGACCCTCACCTGCCAACAAGAGAGGTTGTGGCTATCATAGAACATGAGGGGCTGGAAGGGACATCTAGAGATCACCCCATCCAGTCCCCCTGGCAAAGCAGGATCAGCGAGGGCAGGCTGCTCAGGATCACACCCAGGGGGGCTCTGAAAGTCTCCAGAGGAGGAGACTCCACAGCCTCTCCGGGCAGCTTGTTCCAGTCCTCTGTCACCCTCACAGGAAAAAAGTCTCTCTTCATGTTGAGGTGGAACTTCCTGTGTTCTAGTTTATACCAAATATTCCTTGTCCTATTACTGGGCACCACCAAGAAGAGCCTGTCCCCCTCCTCTTGACACCCACTCTTTATTTATAGATGTTAAAAACATCCCTTCTCAGCCTCCTCTTCCCAAGGCTAAACAGCCCCAGCTCTCTCACTCTTCCCTCATCAGAGAGATGTTCAACTCCCTCCACGACCCCCGCAGCTCTCTGCTGGACCCTCTCCAGCAGATCCCTCTCCTTGAGCTGGGGAGCCCAGGGCTGGATGTGGCATCCCAGCTGTGGTCTCAGCGGGGCACAGAGGAAGCAGACCCTCTCCAGACTTGCTGGGCACACTCTTACTAACACACCCCAGCAGCTTTCCTGACCACAGCTCCCAGTGACCCCGCTCCCCACGTCCCCAGGGGGTGCTGCTCCCTTTTGGGGACACCCTGAGCTCTCCCAACCCCTCTCTGCACACCCAGCACCGACTGACACGCAGCAAAACCAGCGGCCAAACCACAGCTCCCCCTCCACGTTCTTCCACCAACCAACTCCTCCCCCGTT